CGCAGGGAAGAATGCCTCATTATCACGCGTGATATAGGGCAGTATATAAAACTGCTTTTCTGATGTGAGGGGCACATTGTGCTTCCATGTGATCTCTGTGCGCGGTTGGTCTCTACGTGACATACTTAGTGGAAACCTCATAGGAAGCGGTGAGTGTGCAGAGCTGTGTTCAAAGTGATTGAAATCTTGGTTTGGAGTTTCTTTGTTTGGTTATGGAGGCGTCTGGCCGGGTGAGTTGCTATCAACTTGACCTTTCCAGGCTCTGAAGAAGGCGAAATTCGCCGAAATGTCAGCTTAATCGTGAACAAAGAATAGTAACACCTCGCGTTTGCTCAACAAAAATACGAAGAAAATCACTTGATCAATGCCGAGGTTAATAGAAAAGTCGGTCGTGAAAACAAATATATTTATCAGCCTCGTGCAAGCTTATCAAGAAAGAATACATATTCCTAACTATTAATAAAATTATGCCAAGACAACATCTTAAAAAATGCAAACTGCACTAAGCATAGAAAACATCCTTCTTTCATTCCTCCCCTGCATGTTTGAGCAATAAGACCCTCATTTTACAAAAACTTCTCGCCCTCCTTCTTCAACAAGCTATATTTTTTTTCAGGAACTAATAGAAAGTTTGATTGGAAAGGCTGCTTTACTGATGCGGAATCATCCCTACTCTATTGAAGTGCCATACGCTCCGCATAACCCCATCGAACCGTCTGAAGCCCGATTCATTGCCATTCTTCATACTTAAATATTTGAAGAACCATCAAGACTAATAACCCTCTCAGTGACATCAAATTATCTTGTACAGTGGGAATGAGATTACATTGTTGTTATGATTGCAATTGACCTCACTCACTGGGCAATCATCGCCGTCGACAAAAACCCTAATTTAGGTCATACCCTCATAATATCAATCAGATGCGGAGATCTCCTGCAGGCCATCAACCATCTGCGGTCCGACAGACAGAGCACAAGATGTTGTGATTAAGATATGATGTATTCCATGTCTTACAATCAATAATTTAGTACTGTATCAACGTAAATTTTTTATTCTAGCGTGAACTCCCTCAGTGTGATTGACCCAGTCGTGTTGATGTGGTCAAAAATCATTTCGAGAAAAGAACTATAACTGATTTCGAATGCAAAAATGCGTCAAAGATTTTGCTATTTACTATACAGTAGAATTTTTTGAAAGGCTTTTACGAATCAAAAATGGACAGCTCGACACGAATTCAGCTTGCACAAGAGCGGAAAGGGAGAGAAATCGCGCAGTAGCCGGTATGAGTTCATGTCAATTCAGAATACGCGCGATGGAGAATCAGAGGCACAGCTCAGTGTTAACGCACTGCATCGCGTTCTATTTTAAGTCGAATTTTTCTACTATCTCGTAAAATATCACGTCGGCGAACTTAAGTTGTTGTGATCTGCAAATATTTACTCAGTGAAATGTTGCTTTAGCCAAGTGAAGAATGATAGACGACAAATAAATGAATCTGATTCCTTTGTGAATCCAGTTTACTAACTCCCACGACCGACTTTCTATTAACATCTGCATTGATTGAGTAATTCTTCATATTCCTGTTTAGCAAACACGAGGTGTTATTTTCTTTCTTTATTTACGTACAAGCTGACGCTGCGGCGCGTCTTGCCTTCCTCCGAACCTGGAAAGGTCAAGTTGATTGCAACCTACCCAACCAAACACCTCTGTAACCAAACAGAGGAATTGCTAAACCAAAATTTCAATCTTGACTTCTTGGACCTTGAGTTTGAATCTTGGTTTAATATTTTCTCTATTTGGTTATGAAGATGTTTGGCCGGTTAGATTGCAGACAACTTGACCTTTCCAGGCTCTAAGGAAGGTGAAATCCGCCGAAACAGCTTATACGTAAATAATGAAATAAAATAACGCCTCCGTTTACTAAGTTCAGTGGAAACACAGATGAAAGAAAGACTACATTAATAGAAAAACCTAAGAGGAAATCCTAGAATCTGGTCAATATAAGAAATCAGAGTTGCATAACAAATAGGTGGAGAGGACATACAACGAACGAAACGACGGCAAGAGGTCGGCACATTCGAAAATGCCGTAAAACTTTGCTCCCTTAGCTTAATGAAATCTAAAAAAGTCGGTAGAACTCCTCTAATGCTAATTTTCTATTTCTTTATTCTGAAGGTTAGAAGTGTAGTTGTTTTCAATAGTATAAAAGACATATAAGAAAATTTTGGAAAATAAATAATAAAACGTGCAACCTGTAATAAATTAGAATCAACTTAAAAAAAACCAGGGTCGTTTCCCACCTCTCCAGTCTTCCTTGACGGGTTCAGTTTCGCCGCAGCTTCCTTCTCTAGGGCAAGAAGTGCACCCTTTTCGTCAACATCATGCGCATCGCCAACGTTCTTTTCCCTCGATGGTAATGCCGCAGCGGGAACGCGGCCTTTTTCGTCCTCATTCGCCATTATCATATCAGTGTACACAAGTAAATCCTTCCTTCGATTAACCTAAGATAAAGCAATCTTTCGAAAAACGCCTTCACTTCAACAAAAAACTCTCCAATCGAGCGACAAGGAGAGAGACAACGGAAGAAGAAACATGGAAAGTGACAGCACTAATTGTAACGAAAAGTGGAACGAGATCCAGAAAACCGAACGACAGCTCAGAAATAGCAGCAGAAAAATGAAGCCTGTCATGTAATCTACGGAAAGAACCGGTAAAAAGTACGGACTGCAGAAATTGGCTGAGCTAAAAGCTATGAATCCTCACAAAACACGTGTTCATCGAAGTGGAAAGTAGTGCTCAAAACAACAACTGAAGCATTTCAAAAAGAAATAACAACGGAAGACTACTAATATGAACGATTCCGAACTTTGTTGTATTATTATAACAATAGGAATGAGTCTAAAATGCTAGTGAACATTCACGAAAGTAAGAAGACACACAGAAAATCAATGTTGAGACATTTGAAAGCAGAATTACCAATATTCTAAGGATTACAAAGAGAAGAGTGGAAACTTTCTTTAGACTTTACCACTGACAACGACTTTCTGGTCAACTAATATTTAGCACGAAAACGCAACTGCATCACTCAAGGGCGGAGCTCTAGAGAAATACGGAAAAAACACAATGCACTTTTGCCCAAGTACGAAAGGGATAGTTGATTGAGAATCCATAAAACGAAGAGTATACTGGTTCATTCAAAGCACTTATCCTAGTCATAAGTGCTTCGATTAAACCCTTCTGGTTTAAACTCAACGAAACCCAAACAAGTTATAAGTTTAATCACTTTCAGCCAGTGAACAAGTTTACAGCTTTTGAATAGCAATCATTTTCAGCAAAAACAATAGTTCCATCAAATTAGCTTTCTCCTGACATCATGACGAACACTGAACGGGTGATATAAAACAACTGCTAGAGAAAACATAGCTTTCTGTAATAATGACAGTAGTGAATGGTTTTAAGTTCTAAATAGTCCAAAGTTTTAAAGCTCTAAACATAACGATAATGAAGCGGAGATATTTGCAAAACTCCGGACCGCTGGTGTCCACGGAGGGGACCTAACACGTTATCACTCTTGCCGGGGGCTAACATGTTCACCATCACACCAGGCGTGCCCTTCGTTTCGTTCTTCTTTCACCCGTGTTATTGACCTATATGCTTAAATATATTTTGTAAGGTTATAAGCCCAACATGAAGAGTAGGAAACGGGACGGTTAGGTTCGTGGGCAAGCGTGCAGAGATCGGGAAAAAAGACAATATTGAATAACAATAAGAATTCATCCATAAACATAATGCATCCATTTCTAAGACAAATTATGCCTTTTTCCTGGAAAAGAAAGATGAGGTGGGTGAAAATGAGGTCCAACAATTGGTGAAGGATGTAAAAAAAACACCCACTACAGTGGAAATACAGCTGTTATCAGGATTTCGAACGAATTTACCAGTGTTTACGAATGCTGTTTACTCTTTAGTAAATAACATTTGTAAACGATCTATTGACAGTAAATATTTCCTTTAACTGATAACAAATCACAAGACAAGTACACCAATCAGGAACGATAAGGTAGGTATTGTCACTTCAACGTCTCAAATGTCAAACACATCGACGAATGTCTACTGAAAACAACTAGAAAGAAACAATTATAAGCAAATTCCATCCATACAGAATTAAACCATGAATATCTTTCGCAGCAGTGTTACACACGAAGCAGTGAAGCAGTCAGTTGGAACGCGGTGGACGTGGGGGTATAAGTCGTGTTGCTGTAATAACACACGAATACGTTCATCACTCGCGCCACAAAAACATTTGGTTCGGACGGATAAATGAAGTGATCTCACATCGACAAAAACCACGAACAACAAAATGTTCGGTGTCGATCAATCCCCAACGGATGTCACATGCATTCGACTTCATTCGTACCATCATAGAACCCACTGGATGCACGTTTCACCTATACAATGAAGTTCAGTGGCTTACCGATACAACAAGACCGAGTGCTATCCTCCTAGACAAATCTGGTAGTAATTTGCCGACCTGGGACGGATAGAAAGCTTGATGAGGCTAAGAATCGAGATCAAACCAATAACGACTGTGTTGCACTGCAGATCTAATCAACACACCACACCACACCACACCGCACGTGTCCGGAAACGATATACTATGAAAATAGGTTAAAAAAGGAATAGAACAGCAACTAATAGAGTACATCAATATCGCACATTTGATACCACAATCGTTGTGGACCAGTGAACGGCATAGCAATGTTTGTATACGTCGCCGTTCTGTTGACTGGTACATCTTCTATTGACATTGTTAATGATATACTCCCAACGGTTCACCGCTTAATTGTGGCCGGGAGGTGTTCTGGGGTGCCGGGGCTGCCATGTACAGTGGGGAGATTGATCCCCTTGGCGTGGTCTAAAAACTGAGGAGTACGGCGTTTCCAGCAGAAGACCTAGCTAAAAGTAAACCATACTAGGATCCACCACCATCCTGGTAAACCATACCATCAAATTAGTCGCATGGTGACAAATATCGCTCTGATCCGCAATGGCTGCGACCGTCTGTGATAGTGAACACCTAGGGCAAATTGGCTAGGATGACCTCGATGGAACCACAATGCCAGCAAATCTCCGAAATAAAGGAGATCATACTGGGGGTCGCATACAAACAGTCAGGACGAGCCATCCAAGTGTCTAAGTGTGTCCAAATTACAGACTTCAAATAATCTGAGAACAATAGCTTCCTACTTGACATCCAAAAAATTTTCTATACATTCTCCAGGATTTTTAGCGTTTTTGCATATTTAAAAGTCAAATTTAATGGCACGAATTAACAGACAGACAACTATTGCACGATACCAGTGCATGATGGTGAGTGTCATATGGCTCATTACAGGATGAACGATGAATGGTTTACTTCACAAACTAATCGACGATGACACTATGTAGGAAAAAGACCTTAGAAACTATGATGACTTAGAGACGTTGGCAAGAAAGCGTTTAAAAAGCAAAGAAAAAACAACGTTTCTGTTGGAAGCGGTGGAATTCAGATAAGCCTTCTAGATCAAATCCAGACGAAACATCAACTTATAGACGCTTTCTGGAATTCGAGTACATCCGCCGTTTCATAGGTACCAGATTTGTTCGATTCCAATTCTCAAAGAGGAAAAACAAATCGTTAAACTAAACATCCAAAGAACAGCGCTTGCGACAATCTAGTCGTTGGTATTGATAAGATGCTGCGAAACCTCTGCTTTGATTTGCACCATACTCGCTTGATAAGCTCTTAAAGAATCTCCTAAGAAAAGAAAACAGCACAAAGAACAAAATCACAAAGGCAATAGAAAAGAAGAACCTAAATGACCACAACAAATCAATTCCGAGGTTAGCCGAAAGTCGGTCTTGGGAACAACAGAATACTTCTACTTTTCAATACATAAAGTCCTCTCAGTAAGACTTCTTGTGGTGTAGACGTATATTTTGGGAGAAATAGAGGACAATCCACTTGTTCCGGACAACATGCCGTAGGAAATAAAACCAAAAAACAGTCCTCTCAGAGGTTAAAGGACCGTGGCAATGGAGGGATATCCAACTGCAATAGTCCATCGCTGGCGAACAAGAATGACAAAAGGTCGCCGGATGGAGTGAATAACCATGTGACTAGTGGGATTCAACTGATACCAAGAAGACGTTTAAATTCTGATATCTCCCAGAAAATTGTCTCTGTAGTTCGTTAACAGAGGTTTGTAACGAAGCACTACACCGTCAAATGCTTGAATTTCTAGGAATTACGAACCAAACATGAAGATGGACTCAACCAAATCAATCACATCGATTACATCAGCCCATTTTTAAGCATTTCGGATAAATGAAACCCTGTGAAATGAGAAGAAAGAAATCAAAGAAAGGGAAACCATCGAGTTAGAAAGCAACAAGAATCCTTGGAATGTCTTGAAGAATCACGTGACTAGTTAGTATTGGGAGTCAATAACTGAAAGTAAGACAAAAGGGCAACTGTTAAGAAAAATTTTCGGTGGGAACAAAGAATTCGTACTGAACAAAGAACAAATCAAGCCATTACATCTGTCTCGTGTTGACAGCCACATTTCTCGCCAATCAATGGAATCCCAAGACTAAGGACGACGGATCGAATTTCGTGTGGAAACGATCAGCAACGAGAACTTTAATGTTACAACCATTCTTTCGAAAAATGCACAATGAATGAATAAATGGGCAGCGTGCAGGCCAACTCGTAATGGTCAGCACCTAGAAGTACTAAAAAAGCTTCGTAAAGCAATTTCATACGTATATATGAAAAAGATCATAGGACGTCTTATGGACAATGCACATAGTTACACAGAGACTTGAAAGGCTGTCATTACAAATTCCAGTTTTGATGGATGTGAAAACGCCCTATCTCGCCGAATACATGTGTCAGACGTCGTATTAATGACTTTTTCTGCAACCACACCAACACACGACGTCAGTTGTTATTGTTGTATTATGGCAACATCCCGCTTTTACTTCTACTTTTACTGTGTTGCTGGAGGTAAACTAAGTCTGTTTTTGTGGATTTGGACGTTAGTAGGTATAAATGTAGACTGAATATGTCAGGATTTCTAGGAAAATCCTATACTTTCCTATCCTGAGGACAGTTTGCGTTTGAACGGTCCCGGTCCATTAAAATTTAGACATGATCTCTATTTGTAAATTGGACAACAAAGGCAACTTAATACTCCAGTAAGGATACTAAAGCTGAAAAGTTGGTTAACACTTCCATTCGAAAGGCCAGCTAATCAGGAAACTCTACCAGAAATGGCTACTCAAGGTTGTGGGAATCTAAGAAGAAGCAGGAAAGTCCCCCCTAGTTAGAATAAAGATACCTGTTTTTCTCGGAATCTCCAGCTAAAGCACTCGAAAGCGAGTAGCCCCAAGTGTAACTTTTCACTCAATCAGATTT